ATTTACAGAACATTTACATGCTGTACTAAAAGCTGTAAATTTCCTGTAAATTTATTTTACAAAACCCTAACATGTAAATTGTAATTTACAAAGAATGCAAATCAATATTTACATGCTGTAAATTAAAATTGACATGTCCATGTAAATTTTCAACTTTTCCAGTGGAAGTTCCGCTGCAATTTTACGCATGCGTAATATCAAATTATGACGTTTTTAGAAGCAAATGAAAACGATAGCGTAGGGTAACTGATTTTGAAGCATTTTCCTGTCGAGCAAAAACAAGAGTTTGAGTAGTCAGTCCCGAAAATGGAAGAAAACAAAAAGAAATAGATTGATGTCGCAGGTTACAATAAGGAACAAGTTGAACTGAAAAGAAACATTGGCCCTCGGTATTAGATTGTACTTCCGTTGGGAGAACTCGGATTTAATTTCTTTTCTCTTAAACGGTAGCTTGTGTTTTTCACTCAATTTCTACCAAACTAATAACACGAGTCGACATTTCTTGGTAAACATGTTTGGTTAATTTGAAAGGCGTAAACAAGGTATCATTATTCGATAAAGAAATACTGAAGCTATGAAAAATTAAGAGCGAATATTTATATTTATAGCTATACTCAATACAAAGCGTGGAGCGTTCTTTGAATATCAGCCAAAACACCGGCCAATCTTAGCCACAAAGGATTGAAAAATTAAGTAAAACGAACAGCTATTTAAAATGAAGGCATTCCTACTCTAGCGGGATACTTGGAAACTAAGAAACAAAATTGGTTTGCCATTCAGCAAGCCTGAGGCCGATGCGCTACTCACAAACTTAGAAAAATATTGAAAGCGTAATTTTCGTCATTGAAATTCCGCCTTCAAGTCTTCAGGGCTTCTACAGCCATTATACTAGCAAAAAGGACAAGACAAGCACGGCAAGGAATATTAATAACTCTGAATTCAGTACAGCCGAATCAAGGAGTTCATAATTGTGATAAAGAGTTATGATTTTTCAGTTGCCATGCACAATCATTAACACTGACAAACTTTGTTTAAAGAAACCACGTTACGGTTTGCGTATCTAAATTTTTTCGAGTTCGTCGTTTGTAATCCGTTTTATCTTCTCCATCCTTAACCATCCTTGTTCTTCTATGGACTATTAATATCTCTTTGGTCTCTTTTATCTTATAGTAAACAATTATTTTCAGGTTTCCTTCAATTTAAAAGTAGTTTTGTTCGTGGCCAAAATAGCTCAAAATATCGTAACTTAACAAACTATGATTAGAGCAACTGACTGACGGTCATACCTGCCTGTTGTCGAACATTGCTGACTGGAAGGCAGCCATAACTTGACTCGTAAAAAGTAGTAGTCTTGCCTTGTTGATCGTGGCAATAACACCAACATATTGAAAGCGAAGTACCGCTGAAATTGCCGCATTGTTCCTGGTTCCCAGGGCAATGAGAATCTGGTAACATGAAATCAACATGTGCCAAGCTACTATCACGCTCGATTGTAATGAACTCGGCCATGCTGTAGCCTGTGATTGCCATCGTGAAGAAAATCAGGGCTGTGGAAAATCCAGCCATCGCTTTGAGTCAGTCGTGTTTTCGAAATTGTTGGTCGAAGAGATATGATTCCGTCAAGCACGCCAATTAAACGAATCTTGTCCTACTCCGTCTCCACTTCTAATAGTGTACCCTTTAAACTTCACCTCTTTTACAAGATAGAGTTTTTAACTTTGCGTGTCAGCGTGATGTAAAATTAATCCCTCTCTGAAACCAAATAAAGAGTATCCACGAAGGCAGCGAAACCTCAGAGCTCGGCAACTGCAGTTACCAGCCATCCTTTGCAATATCCGTCCAGGATATTGATCCTATAGGATGCCATTATTTCCATATCATTTACTTCCTTTTAGAGGAGTGATCCACTAATGGTCGTTGGTGAGTGACGCATGGCATCAGCTTTTTTTGGTGGGGAGGAGGGGGTGTAGGAATCCCATATTAAAAGGACAGGGGAGCTCTTCTTACCTTTTAGGGTTTAAGAAAGAAGGTTTGGTACCTCTTAGAGCGTTCCGTCTCGAGGGTCCATAGCGGGAGCTTAAAGGATACATTCTTAGAGTATTGAGCTGAAAAACGTCAGTGTCAGTGTGTTGTTTAAGAATTGGCACCTCTTAGGGGTGAAAACAATTCCAGGCCATACCCACCAAACTGGATCTTGGTACCTCTCAGGGGTTCTTTTNTAAGAATTGGCACCCAGGCACAATTGCAGGCCACACCCACCAAACTAGATCTTGGTACCTCTTAAGGGTTCTTTCCAAGAAGACCACCCCCGTCCTTTTTGTATGGGAGTCACCTTAGCTTACAACTTCCACTCTCTTCAGTAACTTGCAATGAAACCTGTTACACTCCATTTTTCACACTCAGCTCAAGGATTAAAGTATATAACCACACTTCGTAGATAGCTAAACAAATGTAGAAGAGATCAGTCTCAAAATTTAATTTTAGAAATCTAAAGCTAAGAGATGAAGAAAATCGTAAGTGCGCATTGAGTATAACTTATATTGTTAAATTGTCAGCTAATTGTTATTATTTTAAAGCAACAATTTATTTTCTTTCAAAGTTTAATCAGCTTATAGAAGCGATTTATTAATTAACCCAAATGATAAAGGAGAGCGAAAATTAATGATCATTTTCTAATTTCAGCGAACCGCATCAATTCTTCAGTCTTCATTTGATTTTTTTTTTCTTTTTTCATTTTAGCAAATATCAAGAAAGCTTTCAAAAATGTTGATCTACTTCTTGAGTACTCGCGACAATGGCACTTTCGTTTGCTTAATCGTCGCTAAAAGTTGTATTGTATCCTCAAATACGTTAAAATGCTATAAGTTTCATTGAACTGAGGAATGTTCGAACACAAACTTCGACAAACGCAATCATTGTGACAATCACCAAGAAAACCCAGTCAGTCAGTCAGTCAGTCAGTCAGTCAGTCAGTCAGTCAGTATTAGCCTGTGAACAGTTGATCACAACATAATATTCTCATTGTATCGTATTGACTTTGCGGTTTGTATCATGAGAAGCTTGTTGTGACATGTTATTTAGGTGGATGAAACAACCAAAAGCGAACAACTATAGTTCCAAAAGGGTGCCGATAAAGAGAAAACAAGCAAGTGAATATAATATACATGCAAAAATATCAGCATGCTGATTGGCTGAGAGCACGCCAATCAATCCCAGACAGCGTAGATAGTTGTAATTGAATTATCATCATATTGTCAACAAGTAATCGAATGCTTTTTCTCGTGCAATTTGGAATAAATAAGCACTTTAAATTCTCAAAGACTACAAATTCCACTCGCCCTACGGGCTCAAATTCAAGATTTGTCTATGAAAAAATAACGTGCTCACTTATTCCAAATTGTACTCAAAATCATTTGATTTACCTATAGAGATCACACTATTTCTAGAATATAATTCAAATGCTTGGGTTAACTTGCTTCCTCCCTCCCTATCCGTAAGTATGTGACTATGTGTTTTCACGGAGCTAGAGTCTGTTCATTGTTTTACTAAATATTGGAGGGTTGGGCTGGCAGTCAGTTTGAGAGGGTCCAAGCGAAATAAAATATGGCTTTTAAGGCTGGGGTAATGGAAGTAATTAAGTTTGTGAGACTGTAAACGTTAAGTTTTTCTTATTAACATCCTACTAGGCCGAATGCAAAAACAAAGCTCGGTCTGGTTGAAAGCTGTAGTAGAAGCCCTCTACCTCATTTGCTGGAGAGACAAGGACTGAATTAAGTGAGACAAGTAAAATAACATGGTCCTATTTTAAGCCTTATTGTTCTAAAATATCGCCTTGATAATGCATAGATCTTATAAGAACAATACAGAACATGCACAAAGCAGATTGCTGTTTGCCTTTTAGAATATTAACGTGGAGAAATCGATCTTTACATGTATCTTATTGAGAAAAAAGGTTATATATCGCTGAAATCGCCCAGACCAAAATTAAGCTCTGGGTTCCTGGGTTCCATGCAGACCCCTTCATTTAATTAAGCAAGGGTAACCCGGTCAGATTCAAAGATGACTGTTATCAAAAGGAGCCCTATGAAAAGTAAGGTTTAAAACTATGAAGTCCTAACTTACATTTTATAAATTAAAAACAGACATCACTCCGTGAATCGAATCTGCTGCTAAAAAGACTTTCTTTGAATTTGAATGAGGGCTGAATGGTCACATTATGACTTGGTAAAAAGACACTGCACTCTGATTAGGACTTGAGTGTCGGATTGTCTATGTCCTTAGTGATTGGTCAAAGAGAAAAGTTTGGTTTTCAGTTGTAAGCAATTTAAATTACCAATATCGATGTTCTAGTTATGCAATACTTTCGATTGATATGCCATGGAATATCCCACGAGTCAAACACAACGGCTTTCCTGTATTCTTATGGACTCTATTTTTTATGGCATAGTACAATATGGATATGAACTCCTGATATAAATAAAAGCGTTGCTAATATCAACCTCTTTCCTCGACACCATCTGGTGACGGAGAAGAGCTTTCAGAGATTGTTTTCTCTTCAGCCACTGAGTCCTCGTCAATGGAATCGTCTGATTTTATTCTTTTCAACTTCAGGGATGTCGAAGAGTTTCCCAAATGCCTGCAAATTTTAATGTAAAAACATTTTTGTTTGAAAATCACTGAAGTTGTTGATATTTGTCAGTTTTATTTTATAATTTGGTTCAAAAATTAAGCTCAGTATGCTATTTAATTGATTTAACAGTTTGGCAGTTTAACTTGTTCTCGCCGGGTAATCTCGTACCAAATACATCTTTTTCTCTTCCAAACGGACAGCTGATCTGATTGCCAAATAAGCTTCACAAATATGACAGGTGCTGGTTGTTGGTCTGGGTAGGCTTGCGAAAATCACCTCCCACGAGGAGACGCGACGCGCAGGAGCTTCGTGCTCTCCTCTTGCGAGATAGTTTTCCCGCGCGTCCCGTGCTTGCCCATTCCATCTACCCTGAGAAAATTACATTTAAGTCCTACCACAGGGAGCGTATACAATCTACAAAAGATACTCAATGTTCTTGTAATATGCGCGGGAAAATTTCAAACAACCATAGGCATAGAGGTTCCTGCCTCTTCATCAGTGATCCGAATGCAAGTCAATATTGAGTCTCCCTCGGATGTAGGGCCTGATGTTTGAATATCAGACGTTTCTCAAAGCTGCGTCTCTCTAAAGTTTTACGGAAGTCAAAATGGATTACTGACACCAGCATATCATCAGTACAAATCTTGCCAATCTGGTAAACGTAAATTTTCTTGGATTCTATTCTTCAGGCGTAATCCGTAGTCCACAGCAGCTGACGTCTTGAAGTGGTTCGTCATATTTATGGGAACAGAGTATACCTTGGATGAGGAAAATGAAAGAGTAAATCAGATGAAGAGGTAAAAGTAAATAAATTTTTAAAGCCTTCCAACTCGAATAGTAAAGTTCAGCTTAACTGGACTCCAAAGAATTAGGGTTGCATGTGCTGTCCGTGTGATTCAGGGGCAAATATACGAAATATTATACTAATTTTCTGTGGTTTAAAGGTGCCCTCACGGAGAGGTAACCCCAAGACGCATTACCTCGTGCGCGTTTCCCGGAGTTTCGCATTTATAATATACTAAAAATAGCAATAACATTGCAAACAGAGATATATCAGCACCTAAATCCTGTCAGTGTTCTAGATTGAAACAACAATTTTCCTTACTTTTTGTGTCAATTCTCAGAATTCGATAGTACATCATGCAAAACAGTATTAGACCCAAACCGTAGTCAATTGTGTCCGTAGTCTGTGGATTAAACCCTATTGCGTGATCATTCTATCTAAAAGAAAGCTATTGGGTAGTACGTTCATGCGGTACTGTTTGTTATGCTCCACAAGGTGGTTCTAACTTTTAAGTCTATGGATGAAGTGTGTGACCATTCAAATAAAAGCTATTGAGTAGTACTTTCATGTGGTACTGTTTATTATGCTATACAAGGTGGTTCTAACTTTAACGTCTGAAATAAACCCGGCGAGTGACCATTCAAATGTGCTTCAGTTCTCCTTTTAGTGCATAAAATTTCATCATCGTCATCGTCATCGTCGTCATTATTATCATCAAAATCATCATCTTTACTTATAAATTTAGTAAATAACAATAAAACTTACTTCGAAATTTTGCAACGCCATAAGATGAGCAGTATCAAGGCAATAAACAGAAGGCCTCCAGCCACCGATCCGACAATAATAAATGTGCTCTTCTGACTTACAATACGTTCCTGAAAAAAGAAAAAAAAACAGATAGTCCGCTAAGGGCCTGATTACATGGCAAATTTCGGCCCGGTTAGCCGGGCTGAAATTTTAGCCCGCCTTCTGAAACAAAACTTCTTCTATCAAATTGGCGATTACCTGGAGAAGGATTCAATCCGGCTGGCAATTCAGCCCGGGCTGAAAATCCTAGCCCGGTTTTGAAAACCGGGTAAGATTTTCAGTCCGGGCAAACGGGCTGAAAAATCTGAAAAAATCCCATGTAATCGAAACGGGATTTCAGCCCAGGCTGAAAAACGAGCTTGGACATGCGCAGTGATTTTGTTTTCTAGGAAACAAGATGGCTGCCGTTACGAAAGAGAAACAATTTCAGTGGAATAAAGCCGATAAAATAGAGAATCTTATTCGTTGTATCGCTAATTTCAAAGCTCCCTGATGGAATATAAGAACATCGACTTCAATGTAGACAAGGTTAAACAGTACGAAGCTGTCAGAGAAGCCATGGCTCGCCGTTTATGAAGATGAACCTACTTTCTTCGGGCCACCTGTTGTTAAACCAATGTCAGCACCTAAGGACTATCCCAAAAAGCTGAGAATTGCGCGCAAACAAAAGGCCAAACTGCGATAGAAGCAATGCGCCCATTTTCACGATTCGTGCTCTCGGCGCCATTTTGATTCTCCTCAGACTCTTCGCGCGCAATTTCATACTTGGCGCCGAGGCTAATATTTCAGCCCAGGCTGAAATTCGTCATGTAATTGCAACAAAATTTCAAAAGACATTAAGGATTCAAGCACCCGGCCCGCCTCTTCCTTTTTTAGTCGCACATCTTCATCTACCACTGAGTGAGGCTGATTTTTTTATCGCAGAGAGGTTATGACTTCTTGTTATCACCTATGCAATTCATTCATTGCGACTGGCTAATCGAACAAGTGAATTTTGTTTAAGGGTTAAACAAAGTAAGCCGCATACCACGGTTGTCCTTGGTTCTTTCGCTGGCGTGGTCACTGGCGGAAGAGTTCCTGTTGCGTCAGATCTTATTGATACAGGTGTTGGCAAGGTTGCTGCGTTTAATGCTGGTGATAGAGTCGGCCAAGGGTACGGACCTTGGAATAAATGTAAGAAGACCGTGATATAACGACTGATCCATCTTGAATTTAAAATTACTACAGGGTATAAAGAATCACTATTTTGGAAGTTGTCGTATTTCTCGTTCATCGATTCTCTTTTCCTGATAAGCTTTATCTCGTCAAAAGGAACGCGTTCAACGATTTTACCCATTTCCGTAACACAGGAAACCGCAGCTGCGCAAGGCTTCCGTCATGACTCAAATAATTCCCTGAATTTTTGAATATACATGTAGTTTTAGTATATACACACTCAGTTATCTTGGTGTTTTAAGCGTCAGAATAATAATAATAATAATAATAATAATAATAGTAATAATAATACGAATAAGAAGCGATTTTTCTAAACATTTAACTATAAAAAATTGCGATAAAATATTTCTAAGCATATTGAGAAAGTTAAAAATTTTGTTAAAAAACGACGTTTCGACGTTGAGCTAACGTCATCAAGTCAAAATGATAGTTGATATTTTTTTTTATCAACTATCATTTTGACTTGATAATGACGTTAGCTCAACGTCGAAACGTCGT